CATCTGCTGTCTGTTTCTGAATTATAAGTTGAGCCTGGCATTAGTAAATGCCTCATTACTCTAACTCCCATTTAGGAATAAATATACTCAGGATATTAGAAGTATTTATTGCTTGCAGAACTGTCTGGTAATAAAGAAATTGCCCCATCGGTCAAACAATAATAGAAGATTTATCGATTTCCTATGCAAAGTATTATACTTAGACCTAAACAAACTCGGGGAAGAAAGCACAAGTTCACCACAAAGGACAGATGGGATGGTAGTAGTGGTGCGAACCTTCCTTCATTCGAGCTCTTAAACGAGGGGAAGTTGGGGAGAGATTCTACATTATCCCCAAATGTGTAATCACAGCATGTGCATAATAATGAGGAATGTGGCACTGCTTTGCCTGCGATGAAGGCTGCGCTATAACTTTGCCCAGAACCCAATTCATCATCATTTCCCCTTTAACAATTAGCCTCTCCTGTGTCATCCATCTGTGAATGTCACCATCAAGACAGGCTCAGTCTACCTCTCTCCCCCTCACGCACCATATGTAATACCTACCGGAGACTCTGCACCAAAGGCCTTCCTCTCCTTCTATTTCTGTGGCCTTCAAGCTCGTTAAGGCCCCCATTCTTCCTGGCTTATCCAAGCCAGAGTCTGGGGGCCGCATTGCATCCCATTTCAGTTCCCATGGGCCACACGTATTCTTCTAGAAGTGTCTAGTTTCCCATTCACACACCTCCCTGACTCCTCAGGGGCTACCAATTAAGGAAAATCCTTGACCCTGTGAGTTCAAGGAACACTCGCTAAAGCGCAGTCACCCACTAGGACCATCCGTGTCAGTAAGGCCTCTGGAAAACTTAGGGGAGGCACAGAAGCTGCAGCTTACACTGACCGGCCTGTACCCTGGGTGGGGCCAGCTGTGTGCAGTCCACTGGCACTAACGGACTCTGGCCTCCCATCAAAGGACTAGCATGTCCCCCGTGCCAAGGCGGGCATGGAGGCAGAGAGGACAGGGGATAGCGGCGGGGCAGACATTCAAACCAAGGCTGCGGACAGCAGGGGCCCTCTCCATGCCACTTCCCCCGCCTCTGCCACCTCTGAATTACTTCATACTTGGCACTCCTCAGAAGTGACTTTTAGAAAATTAAACCTAGAATTACATTGATATACTTCCCTTCCAAGATTGAAAACTCCTGGAGGGGAGGGGTCTAGTTTTCTTCATCTGGAAACCTCCTCCGACACCCAGCCTGGTGCCCAGCTGGAGCGAAATGAAGAACAAAAGGCCATTCCCTCCTCCAGGAAGCATAAGGGAGGATTGGGAATGAAAAGACGGCTCAGAAAATACATCAACAGAATACCCCCAAGAGGTCTTTTTTTTGTGGTTTGTTTAGCCCCCAACATATATTCACCAGGACTTCCTGAAAATAATTTTGAGGAAACAAAGACCATGAAGAATTAGCTGCCAGATTTGGAATGGTGCGTTTCTGGGGAGGAGGGGGAGGAATGGCCACATAGAGCGACTAGATTTCCCAGAGACTAATTTATTTTCCTCCAAGAAAGGGGTAAAGCAGCCACCTTCCACCAGGGCTGCACATTAGACTCGCCTGGGGAGGCTTTAAAAATCGGATGGCCAAGCCACTCTCGGACCAGGGAAACCCAACTCTGGGGGTGAGCCCAGGTCTCGGGGGGACGGGGGGGTTTATAGTTCCCCCAGGGGCTTCAAAGATGCAGCAAAAAACTGCTGGAGTGAAGGGGCCAGAACTGGAATTCTGGCTACACTAATTTCTAACTCTGTGACCTTAGGTGAGATACTCCCATGCATCCTTGTTCTTCAGCCCCAAGCAGTCCCTTAGCCAGCTAAAATGACCTCAGCTCGGTTTGCACCCACCAGGTATGTTGAAAAGAAATACTAATAGTACTTAACCTTCATTGGGTTATTTTCAGCACTGAAAACATCTAAGTTCTTAGAACAGTGCCCAGCACATGGAAGGCACTCATTACATGCTAGTTACTTTTACCCTCAAAGGTATAAAGGATTTACAATGCACACCTCACATGCGGAGGACTAAATACAAAGGACTTGATATGAAAAATGCTTAATAAATGGCACTCTCCCATTCTTACATCCCACTCACAATTATCTCTGATCTAACTTGAGTGCCCTCAGGATAGAGAATCCTGGCTCTCTTGACACTTACTAGTACCTAGGGTTGCCAGATAAAATACAGGGGCATACTTAAGTATTTAAAAATTATTCACTGTGGTCCTAGCCGGATTGGCTCAGTGGATAGAGCATCGGCCTGCAGACCGAAGGGTCCCAGGTTCGATTCCGGTCAAGGGCACATGCCCAGGTTGTGGGCTCAATCCCCAGTGGCGGGGAGGGGGCGCATGCAGGAGGCAACCAATCAATGATTCTCTCTCATCATTGACGTTTCTATCTCTCTCTCTCTCCCTTTCCCTTCCTCTTTGAAATCAATAAAAAATATATTTTTTGAAAAAAATCATTCATTGTGTATCTGAAATTCAAATGTACCTGCCCACCCTGTATTTATTAAATCTTGCAACCCAAGATTTACCTGTCATTTAAATTTAGGCTAAAACTGAGGCTGGGAAGACATATACACACATACCAGTATCTGAGACCTTTACTCCTCTGCTCCCTGGTAGCCAAAAGACATGTTTACTGCAATTTATAAGCAAGCAGCCAGCTCCCCTACATCAAGCAAGTCAATGCATTGTTCAGATGAACAAAGCCCAGGAGGAAACAATTCAAAAACAAAGAAGGGGGAAAGCTTTCCTAAACTCACCCCTCTCTTTTGCAGTCACTTCCCTGATACATAAAGCTGAACTGTAGATATGCACAGAAACCTGCCTCTTGGTGGAACAGGCTGTGATCACCCCACAGGGCACAGACGTCACTATACATTATTTAGCCCTATCAATAATGCAATACCAAAGCCATGCTTTGAAAGTTCTATGCCTTTACAGGTCTCTACGATGTCACGTGTCTTATTTTTAATTTTGTTTTAACCCTCCCTTTACAAAAAAAAAAAAAAAAGTCAGTTCATTTTTCCTTTTCAAAGCAATATTTCCCCTTAGAAGAAAGGGAGCAAACACAGACAGCCCAAAACAACTTTCTTGAATCTCATTTCATAAGATATGTATGCTGAGTACCCGAGCCAGGTCCCTGGGGGAATGTTCGGTTCTGAACAATGTTGTCCACTATGATGCTGGTATATGTGCAAGAAACGGAAGATGAAAACACTACAGAAGAAGTTAAGAAGCATTAAGAGCCAATGAGTCAGCTAGTTCTGTAAGAACTGAATTAAATCAACCACCAGATTGTTCATTGATTATCACAACCAGCGAAAACTCTGCTGCAAAGGCACGTTTCCCAGTTCACTTGGCTAATCCCTTCTGAACAAGAATCCGAAGAATGAATACTATTCAGCCAATGGAAAGCTGCACAAATTAATCTCGCCAAGCGCCATGCTGGCAACTGAACACAATCTATAAAATAATTCCAGACTATCATAAGCCAATAAGAAGAACTAAAGCTGTTATCCACTCTTCCAAAAAAAAAAATCCAAGCTATAAAAGGTTCAACGTGACACCCCCACCACTTTACAGCCAACTGCTTCAGGCTGGAAGGTCATGTGAAAATATTTTTAAAAAGGAGAAAAATACGAAAGTAGAGCTTTTTAAAAAAACAAAAAACTGCAAGAAACGTAAAAGGCCAACTAGGCACATCGTTCATCAATGTAGGTAAATTTCACATTAAACCCCAAACTGTACTGAGTACACAGCATCAGCATGACCCCCCGTTTGCTTAGGTGAGTGACCACATATACGAATAATCTAAATGAGTCTAAAACAAGTTGATTAGACTTATTCTACAAACAGAAGAGATTAACTCATTTCACTGGACAAGCAGCAGATTCAGAGAGGGACCCACAAGGTCCAGAATCCAGTTACTGGCAAAGTTCCGACCTCGCAAGGTGGTGAATACACGGTGCAGGGACAGCACAAAGGGAAGGGGGCCAGGAGGACAAGAAACACCCCATTCACGACGCTGGGTCCCTCTCGCAGTCTATTTGAATGCTGCTCTTATGAGGCTGCCAGCTTTGAAAGTAATAAAAGAGGGGGAAAATATTGTAACTTAACGTCCAAAAGAAGGGAGTTCTCTGTTTGCCGTGCTCGCTAAGTGACAGAGGAAGACCTTGCCAAAGAGCCTTCATCTTCACGCGAAGCTTTGTATTTCTTTTTGGCTACTGGGTTGGCAGTTTAGAAAGCACCCACGTGAGGTGAACCAGAAGTGTGTGAAGGGGGAAAAAACACAGCCCTGCAGGTGGAGCTGGCCACGTGATGGCAGGAGCCCCCTCGCTGTCCGCTCAGTGTCACGTGTGACACCCCCCACCACAGGTCAATGCTCCATGTTCCTCTCGCCCAGCAGTTCCTCCCAAGGTCCACGGACTGCAATCTGTCTGGTGTGCTTTTCATTCAAAGTCACGACCAATTCTGCCCACTTATTCACCTCAAGGTAAAATGACAGTTTGCTGCCCTCGGGGCAGAACACCACTAGTCCTGGGAAGGAATGAAAGACACTGAATAAAGGAAGGAGGAGGCTGGGAGTGTGAACGGAGCTCCTAGTTCTTAGTGACTGTCAGGCTTTGAAAAGGGCATTTTCTACTATTATTTCAGATTATTCCACTTTAGACATACATATATGGTATCCCTATATAAAGTACTATATATGTTTTATGTTATTGCATTTTTGCCCTCACCATTTTGTCCTGAAGTAGAACAATCTGTAATCCTTGCACCTTTGAGGAAATCGCTCTTTCGCTTACTGATAGTTTGCAAGTCTCAGCCTGCCTCCCACCTCGGAGAAGCAAACTTTCTGGTAAGGAACCAGATAGGAGACATTCCAAGCTTTGCGGACCAGTGTCTATTGCAATGACTCAACTCTGCCACTGTGGGGGGAGATCAGCCAGAGATAAGAAGTAAATGAATGAATGCGGCTGGGTTCCAATAAAACTTTATTGATGGACACCGACATTTGAATTTCATATCATTTTCACATGAATAAACATTCTTCTCTATTTTTTTAACCATTTCAAAATGTGAAAACCATTCTTAGCCCACAGTCTCTCCAGCATTCATAGATAACATTTCGATGAATTTTGGAGGGGATAAAGAGGAAGGGAGATTATGCTACTCTACGAATTTGATGGGAAAATGTTCTGTGTGGCTTCATGTTGTTTAAAACCTCATTCCTAGCTCATAAGCCAAGCGTCTTCTCCATCACACCACACAGAAAGAATGTAAAGAAACTCCTGCCATCAACACTGGCAGAGAAAGAATAATCCATGCATTGCAGCCATGATTAAGTAAAATGAACTCAGTTCATGTGTTAGCATGCAGTTTTGAGATTGGTCCTTTTTGAAATCCCTGAAGCATCCTGTAAATTCAGTTTGCTTCCTGGGCACAATCGCCTCTCAGTGATTCTGGAGAGAAAAGAAGAGTAAATAAAACCAGCTGAAAATCACAAAAATAGGAGATGAATAGGTTGGGCAGGGAAAACACATTAAGGGAAGGTGACCCTGGCCAAAGATGAAAGACCTATGACAGGATGAGTATTTTTCCCAATTAGCAATGAAGGGCTGATTTCCTAATTTTAGAATGTGGAGTGAACTTAGCAACTAATCCATGTTCTTTTCTCCCGTTACTTTTCCCAAACAGAGTGCTGACCAGTTGCTGCAGGTAAACCCCCATCGGCTCTAAACTCGATATGAGCAGCATCAGTAAGATCAATCATGCACTAAATGGATCCTGAAAAGGTACAGTGTCTTCTCCACATGGCTGGCTTGCTATTTTCTGATATCCAATCCCGACATAAAGTGTAATCACATTCGGAGGTCACACTGGCCTTCGGAAAGGGGAGTGGCCATACTGCATGCTTCCGGCAGAGTCAAGGGAAGCAAGGGTGTGGGAGCATTGCTAAGTGTCAAAAACATCTTTGAGAGTCATAAAGAAACTAGGCTTAGAGCTGGGAGGCTCCGCCCTCTCAGTGTCTTTCTACATGAAGGTCAGATGTGAATCATGTCAACTAACCCTTACCATTGTCCAACCTTTAACAATGAGAGGGAGAACAACTGCAAATGAGCAAAATTGAGGCCACTCTCAATTTAGAGATGAAGGCGCCACACCACATTGGCCAGTAGGTAATATCCTGTTTATCCTTGGTCAGTCAGTTTGAAATGTTTAGGAAAGACTATCCAAAAAAAAAAAAAAAAATCCTCAGGGCATTTCCTCCTAATAGGTGCATCCTGATTTTTTTAAATCTTGGCACTTTTGTTTTTCAATCAATATTTCTGAATGAGAAGACATGGATACACATTTTGCTTTTATTTCACTGTCCGGGGGTTTGAGTGTGGCTTACTTGTATTTCTATTGTTTTTCTCAGTTGAATCAGCCCAGGCCCCAATAAATTTAGGAAAAATGTCAAATGAACCTGAATTATCGGGAGGATTTTACATGCTTTTAAGACAACTGGGCGAACGTAAACATTGTACTCACAGGATGGCATGTTAGGCCACAGAACAAGCTTCATCTCTTTGAGGTAAAAAAAATAAAAATATCTTTAAACTCTGTTTTGTATTCACCTCTCCAAAGGAAGTACCAGACCAAATGATTGTCACTGTGTTTGGGAACATTTCAAAGGATGCTCCAAAGCGGCTCGGATTCATGAGATTAGATGAGTAAAGAAAGTAAGAAGCAACTGTGATTCAACAGCTTCTATCTGGGATAGGGGAGGCCCATCTGTCTGCAAGTGAAGACAACACAAGGGCTTAAAAATAAACCTGCCTTCCTTGGGGACCTGGCTCCCGCCCCAGGGCACCTCCTTTGTGTATCTGGAATCTGAGGAATTTGGGAGAGAATCCTGGGCTGCTGCCCTGTTAGGGGATCCCTCTGTGAATGTGGGACACAATGAGGCCAGCTGCCACTCACAACCTTGATAAGCCACCGCATCCGTCATCCTGCCAGGCCCTACTCCGCTCTCTCCCTCTCTGGGGTGGCAGGGAGGAACTTCTCATTTGTTGAAGCCTGACGCGTCCCTAATAGCATCTCCAAAGCTGCCTCTAAAACAAGTGTGTTGCAGGAGCAGCAGACGGCTTCGAGTGGAACATGGTCACACCACGTCTCCAGGATCACTGCAAAGACCTGTTGGAGTGGAGGCCCTTTCTGAGCCTCTCACGGTCTGCTGTGGTGTCTGGCACAGTTTCCAGTTCCAAAAAGACGGAGATTTCCCTGAGGCCAGGGCCACTCCCCGAAGTTCCTGTACACCACACAGCCACTCTCCTGGCCAACAGCCCCTCCCTGGGCTGGACAGGGGACCTGGCTCTTACATAATCACACAAGGGCCTCTCCGTGGGCTCGGGGAAGAGGAAGAATCAGCCTGGAGACAAAGTGCCATTTTCCACATTTATCTTTCAAAATCTTCATTTCAGACTAATTTGTTAACAGGCCTTTTCAAGAGATGGGCACTTTAAAAATCAACTCAAGATTGCTAGAGGAGGAAGAGTTCCTTGTTTTCCCACTGGCAGCTTTCAAAGTCCTCTGAATAAAGGAGGAAGGCTGCTTTTCTTTCAGCAAATAATTAATGGTTTCAGTTACAATTTAATTTATTTACTCTCACAACAACCCTATTGGTAGGTACTATAATTGCGCCCACTTTACAGATAAAGGAACTGAAGTACAAATAGGTTATTTGCCAAAGGCCATGTAGCCTGTAAGTGGGGAAACCAGGATATGAATCAGTTCTGACTCCTGATCAAAGCTCTGCACCACTCCACTCTGCTAACTCTCCACCACCCGGACAGCTCATTTCATTACGGTGGCAGCTCCAGTCCTTTCTCCCTCCCAACGAGGAAAACATCACCCTCAGTGAAGCTGCTGTAACCACGGGGGCAGTGGTCCTCAGGGGACACCTGGCAGGCTAGAGATATTGGAAAGGGATGCCACTGGCATCAGGTGGGTGGAGGCCAGGGATGCAGCTAAATATCCTACGAGGCACAGGACAAGCACCCACCACAAAGAACAGTCAGACTAAAATCCATAATGTCAGACTCAGAGAAGTGCCCTCAGACACAGATCTTCCCTCCATTCCTTTTCTCTGCCACTGCCTTCAACTCTAGTGACTAATTGCAACCAAAACTATCTAGAAAACCATCTTTCCTAGCAAGGAGGCTTTCTTGCTCTCCTCCTTCCTGACCTCCCCCTATCAAAACTCTGATGCAGACAGTCCCATCTCCACACTTCCACTCAGCTCATTCCACATGTCTAACCCCCGTACAGGCTTCAAACGGTATTTCGAGTGGAGTTCGCCCAAGAAGACCCGTCCACAGCAATCGTTTCCCCTCCTTTCAGATAAAATGAGCCCCGGCCGGCACAGTTGGTAATAAAAATCACTGCCACTGCATTCCTACCATGTGCCCCAAACTTTGGCCAAGCATTTGATATATATTGATATCCTCAGGACAACCCTGAAATAAAGATAAGGTTATCTCTGTTTTCCCCACGACAAAACTGAAGCTAACACCAGGTAAGGGAGTTCAAAGGCTTCAGCCTGAGGAAGTGGAAGAGCCAGGACTCAAGTCCATATCCAACTGATTCCCACGCTCAGGCTCTTTCTGAATGGGGCCCCTTGCCCCAAAGTACTTGCAGAATGTCCAATAAAGCACCGGCTGGTGGATTGATCCCACAAGAACGACTCTCTGAGACTCAGGGGCCACTCTGTGAATGAGGTTCCCACTGTACAAGTTTCTCTTTTATTACCCCACACATAAACACATCCTTCTCTTTGCTTTCCCCTACTGCATATATGTATTTTTTTATTAAAAACTCTAATGTTGCCCTAACCGGTTTGGCTCAGTGGATAGAGCATCGGCCTGCAGACTGAAGGGTCCCAGGTTCGATTCTGGTCAAGGGCATGTACCTTGGTTGCAGGCACATCCCCAGTAGGAGGTGTGCAGGAGGCAGCTGATCGATGTTTCTCTCTCATCGATGTTTCTAACTCTCTATCCTCTCCCTTCCTCTCTGTAAAAAAATCAATAAAATATATTTTAAAAAAAACTTTAATGTTTACATTATTGCAGGTGTCCCCCTTTGCTCCCCTTCACCCACCCCTATTTCCCCCTCCCTTGGCCTTCACCAAACTATTGTCCGTGTTCATGGGGTATGCATATCCATTTTAACAGCTTTAGGGAAGTACGACTGACACACACTAAACTGCACATTTTTAATTCGTGCACTTTGGTTAAGTCTGATGTATGTGTGTGCATGAAACCATCCCCAAAATCAAGTTAATGATATATCCATCACCCTTGAAAGTTTCTTCCTGGTCCTCTCTTTACCACCACCCACAAGCATTCTCAGACAACCACTGATCTGCGCTTTGTCATTGTAAATTAATTTGCATTTCCCAGAATTTTATGTAAATGGCATAATCTAGCACATATGCTTCTCCTCTTGCCCCCCCCCCACCGCCCCCAGGTTCTTTCATTTAACATATTTTGAGACTCACCCATGTGAGTGTGTACCTATAGTTCATTCCCTCCTATTGTTGGATATTATTCCATTGTATGCTATGCCATAGCATATCTAATCCCAATGGCGAGGGACAAGTCTAGTTTAAGGCTATTACAAATAAACTTGCTCTGAACATATGTGTCCGAGTCACCATTCTCTTTGAAATTCACTTGCATCCAAAGAAAAATTTGCCAGATCATGAAATTGTGTTCGGTTTTGAGCCTTTTCTCCAGCAAGAAGAAATGTAGATCAGAAACGAAACTTTGTTCTCTTACTGAGCACATGTTACAGAAAAAGGAACATGTTATTCTAGGACAGATGGCCCATCCTGTCATTTAGACCCACCCCTTAGTAATAATTTAACCTTATTTCACTTTCCTTATGTATAAAATCAAGATGATCAAATCTCCTTCATAAGACTACTGTAAAGATTAAATGATAATAATACTCCACACACCACTGTAACCCTATGCACAAAGTATAATAAGTGTTCCATAAATGCAGGATATGATGACTGTTAATGTAAATATCTATTGTGAAAAATGACTAAGCCTCATTATGCCCTCAAACAGAAATTGCTATTATTTCTGCCAAATTTCCCTATACTGATTTTACCTTAAGTGATCACTTTACCACTTCAAAATCAGACAGCAAACAAAAGACAATCTAACACAATGCTTCTCAAACCTTATTCAAACCATACTTCCCTTTCGGGAAAATTTTTTGATAAAAATCTCAGAAGCATCGACGCATTCTGCCTAAAAACACATAAAATATAAGCTTTTCTCCCAAGTCTTAGGATAGAACTAGTGAGGACATGTTGCAACCTTCTAACTGGCAGCTCACTGTGAGTCACCTGTTGATTCATTCATCAGAGAGAAGGAAATGAATGGACTCAGTGAAATCAACGAGTTTCCAGGAAGAATGTGATAAATGTTCCTTGTACTGGTTTATTTACCCACCCCCACCCACCTCCATCTACCAGCCCCTAACAGCCACCCCTCGTTCCTGCACATGTGCAGGCAAGTCTGAAAATGGTGTGTTCGAAAGAGAACTGGCCCCAGGTGAAGAAGAAACCTGTGTAATCTGAACCTGGGTGACCATCTGCGAGGAAGGCCAAGAAGGGGTCCTGCACTGGGCGGTCTGGCCTAGACAAAACAGAAAGCTTCCCACAAAAAAAGAGATGACAGGCGCGCCAGCTAGACATTGATGGAATCCAAGCAGTAGGCCAGGGCAGACTGTCAAGGGTTCTACCAGAGAAGTGAGCCTGAAGGGGAACTTGTGTGCGTTTCCAACCTTGGCTGGGAATGAAGTGCCTGGTGGGCTTGGCAGGTGTCGTCGGAGAGCTCAGGAGGCCAACTCGTCAGCGTGGAAAAGAGCTCCTCAGAGTAAGAGCCAACTATTCCACTGTTACCGAACAGCCCTGAAGGGTGACTCGGTTTCCCCAAAACGGGCCCCGGGATGCGGAGCAGGAACATCCTCAAGGATGCTCTTCTTTATAATTACAGTATGTAAAGGGCAGGATAGCTTAATAATGCAGACAGGGTGGAGAGGCCAGTCTATTCCCCCACCCCAAATCCCTGTCTTCTCTAAACAGCCTTTCCCAACCTCTGTGACTCGGTCCTGAGTTCCTGCTCCCATCACACCATTTAAGTACCCCCAGAGCATTTACCACAGTAATTAATGTATATACTTAGTTGCCTAATCTTTTGATTACTATCTGTTCCCCATCTACACAGGAAGCTCCAACATGGCTTTTTGCTCACCCCCTTATCCTCAGTACTCAGCCCAATGCCTGAGGAACATAATAGGTGCTCAGTAAATACATGCTAAATTAATGAATGGATGCATGGAATTCACAAATGTCCCACTTCCATTCCTTTGTCCTGCCTCTGGACCATGACTAAGTAGACAATCTTCCCATTGGTACGTAGGATGGCCAAGCTCCCAGGTCAGTGCCTAGCACATGGAAGAGTTCAATGAATGTCTGCTCTCTTTAAAAAAATCGGAACAATCTGCACCTGAGCAAACTGCTTTCTCTACCCAGAATGTTCAGTTGCTTCAGGAGAATATTCCTCAATAATAATATATCTCTCAACATTTCTACACCACATCACTTCCCAACCCACACACATACAGACACAAATGCACACCAGAAACATACAATGTAGGGAGGGAAAATGGAGTTTGGTCATTTTTGTGGCAAGAAAAACTTACTAACAAGCATCTACCAAATTGACCAAATTGATAGTATGTGATTAGAATTTAGTCATAGCCTTGAGAAATAAGGGGGAAAACCTGTATCTGTGCTCTAGGACAGTGATGGCGAACCTATGACATGCGTGTCAGAGGTGACACGCGAACTCATTTTTTTGGTTGATTTTTCTTTGTTAAATGGCATTTAAATATATAAAATAAATATCAAAAATATAAGTCTTTGTTTTACTATGGTTGCAAATATCAAAAAATTTCTATATGTGACACGGCACCAGAGTTAAGTTAGGGTTTTTCAAAATGCTGACACGCAGAGCTCAAAAGGTTGGCCATCACTGCTCTAGGAGATCCAGATCAATGTTCTGAGCTTGGAAAGTAATTTACCTTATCTTGCTCAGCAGTCCTATTACCCACCAGTCCAGAAGTAGAAGTAACCAACAATACAATAAGTAGTTGAAGTATTACCTAAAAGCACTTCACACTTTGGGGGAAATGGCCAACTTCAGCCATTAACTTGCAAATATGTTTCCCTTCATTGCTTCTAACAAGAGCTCCATAGTCAGGCAAAGGCTGGAGGAAGTACATAGCAGGAGTTCTTATTTGTCTCAGTATTTCCTCATATGGGGAGAAACCAATTATCTCAGTAACTGGTTGAAAAGAGACAGACATCTAAGCCCAGTTTGAGTTTATCTGGTGTGAGAACTCCCAGAACTAAAACTGCTTTCTAAAGAGGACCACTGTATCTACTTGATACAAAACACTTTTAACATGAGATGGGTCAAAATCCCATAAAATTTTCCATTGAAAATCTTTTGATGTAGGTTAGATAAATAGACTATATATAAATTCAGATATATGTACATGCATCAATGTGAACAGATATAGTTATGTATGCTTGATAGATGGGCATGTACATGTGACTGGCTGATAACAAGCTGCACAGATTCTAAACAAAAAAAAACCCAAACAACCTACTTTGGCCTGGCCAAGGCAAGATTCCCAAATCCTGTTATTTCAGTCCCATGATTCAGAGAGGGAAGAAGTCTTTTAAGGGCAGAGGAGAGAATCCAGGAATTCTCAGTAGCAGTCCTGCAGATGCAGTCATTCTTGATCATTGAGCATACTGATGGTACTACTGTCAACGTGGTTGCTGGGAACTCCCGTTTAACAGAATACCCTTGCCCCTGTGGTCCAGTCACAGCTGGTCATATGAAGAGCTTGTGCCAGATTTGTAAAGTAGAAGTGAAGTCCAGTCTGTAACTGTAAGAAGGTCCATGGACAAGTGGAAAGTGCCCAGTGAGTCTCCATTTGCCCTTGCTTACTTAGGCTCTCACCCCCTTGTCTTCCCAATTAGTGACCCTGCTGACCAACAGTAGCCCCAGCCCCACCGCTAGAGACTTGGTTACTGACTGTAGAGGTGGAAACATACCTCTCCTGTGCTTCCCCCTTCTGGTCCCTATTTGGTGGCCTCCAGGGAGACATCCTCTCATCCTCTGCCTCCTCGTCCCCCTCTTCCTGCTCTGTAAGACCTTCACTTCCCCAGCCCCTCTCATATTTGAGGAAGACCCGATCCCTAGAGTAAATCCCTTAATCCCATCACACTCACTATGATTTTACTTCTTTGACTAAAAGTTGGCTGATCAATGGAATAATACAGAGAGTAGATCTCAGTTCATGGCCCCTGCACATACATGCTACTGCTCCACTTAGGAAATCCCCGGCAATTTCAGACAACTGGACACGGAGACCAAAAACTGTTCATTAAAGAACATGTTTCTACAATCCCATCCATCACGGCAAATATTACCAACCCGAAGATGGCTCTACCGTGCATCATGCGCCCCAAGAGAGCAACATTTCCCATATTTTACAAGATGAACAAACTCTTGAGTAATGATGAATAAGTAACTTCTTTTTGTGAGTTATGATCTTACCCCCCAAAATAAAATAAATCCCAGATTCCATTTAGTGAACTACCAAAAAATCCATTTCTCAACATGCCTTAAACCAGAGGTCACAAACTAGATTCCTGCAAGCCGATTTTGGCTAACAGGCATGTTGGCTTTGGCCCTCAAACAGTCTGAATTGATCCCGATGTTTGAGAGATGGGAGACTCCCCCTAAAATTCCACATTTCCAACTTCTCTGGGAAGACCTGAGGATCTTGCCCACCTCCTGCCCAGCCCCTCTTTCCAACACAGGAAAGTTCCACTGCGCTCCACCCACAAGACCTGCTTGAGCCCTGAGAGCACTGGGATTGCAACCACCACGCTGTGTTCCTAGGAAGCCAGCACTCAGGGGCCTCCGAGGCTAACTGGAAGGGGTGCACTTTGTGTGATGTTTGAGTTGCCTCATCTGCTTGACCCTAGGATGTTTCTCAGCTGGTGGCTGTGGTACTGAATAGCCTCTGCCGGTAAGGGCCCTTTATATTTGGGGTTGTTGGAAAAGCCTGCTTTAACCTGTCACACAGCCCTCAGGTTAAAGGAGAGGCAATTAAGAAGTGCATACCTTGCCCTGGCCAGGGTTGCTCCATGGTTACAGTGCCAGCCTGTGCATCGAAGGCTCTGGGGTGCAATTCTCAGACAAGGGCACGTACCTGAGTTGCAGGTTCAATCCCTGGCTCCCAGTCCAGGCATGTGAGGGAGGCAATCAGTTGATGTTTCTCTCTCTCTCTCTCTCCCTCTCTCTCTCTCTCTCTCTCTCTCTCTCTCTCTCTCTCTCTTTCTCTCTCATGTCATCTCTCCTCCTCCTCCCTCCTTTCCACTCTCTCTGAAAAGCAATGGGAAAAATATCCTCAGGTGAGGAGAAACCAAAAAAATAAAAATAAAAAATAAGGACATACCTTCAGCAATTTAAGGGCTGCATCAACACGTCCAAGAACAAGCTGGAACACCACCCAGCTCGGCTGTTCCGGGTGAAAATCACACCCTCAGAGCCTTCCTCGAGGGGAGCAGTGAGAGGAATTTACAGGTAGTTCTGCTTTCTATTATTAAAGACACTGCCTAGCATCATTTTCTCTTTCTTGACATCATGAGGTGAGAGGAAAAGCAGAAATGGCTGCACACTGGATGTTCCCAGGGGAAAGTAATTTGCAGGCATCATGCCTGAACCTGAAAGGAGGAAGCAGCAACATCACAGAGACACACACAAAGTCAGGGTCTGTGAACTGGGGGGGTGGGGGTGGGGGGGGGGGCGCGGGACTGCTTCCCTCTCACTGCCCTAGTTTCTCATCCGAAATCAGTCATTATGAGAGCACTGTAGTGAGAATGAATGAAATGCTGCATGCGAAGCACTTGGCAGGGGGGCTGACACACACATTCAATAGAGGCTCAAATTACTGTTATTGTTTTACTATTATCAACAAAGACAATTCATGCCAAAAGTAAAAGCACATTCAGCTGAAACAGGGAAGGGGATTCCTTTGGCAGCCACTGCAGTGCAAGGGAGACATTTGTAAATCGGAGTCTTTAAGTTGGGGGTTGTATGTGACGAAGTTTGAAGTTTGTTTGTGTTTTGTTTGACTCAAGAGTAACCAACAAATACATTTCCTAGAAAATGTGCTAATAAAATTGTTCATCTGTGTAGAACCATGGTGTGGCTCATTACACACCTAAAACCATTTCATAACCCACAAAGGTCAATACCCCAAGCTTTCTACCCAAATGTTCGAACATAAAATAAGATATATCCCTCCTGGCTGCCTCAGCACACTCTGGGGTGAGGGGCAGAATTGGCTAGGTTTCTGGGATAGTTTGAAAAGCACTTTGTTCAACTTGAACCTCAAGATTCACCACCAGCTAAGTAAAACACATGTGTATTTAATTGGTCAGCCAAATAACATTCCAAGATTTTTTTTTAAAATCCTCACCCAAGGATATTTTTTCCATTGATTTTTTTTAGAGAGAGCAGAGGGGAGAAGGATGGGAGGGAGGGAAGGAGAGAGAGAGAGGGAGAGAGAGATCAATGTGAAAGAGACACGTTGATTGGTCGCCTCCCACAGGACCACAGAGGCTGGAGAGCAAGCCTATAACCAAGGTATGTGCCCTTGACAGGGAATCGAACCCGAGATCCTTTGGTCTGTGGGCTGGCGCTCTAACCACTAAGCAAACCAGCCAGGTACATTCAAGATTTTAAAAGCACAGGCTGGTTTCTAGTAAAAAGTCCAAGAAACTGAGAGTTGTTCATCTACAAAGAAGATTTGCAGATCAAATTGTATTTCCATTCTGTGTTCCTCACGATACATTAATAGCAGGGATGTGGTCCCCATTTTTTAGGATAAGAATCTGAATAACTAGGTAAAATGATAAAACACTCAAAAATTTTAAATTTCAAAACTCCAAACTATGATGATCTTGATAAAGAAATTCCACATGAAACTCGAGGAGGAAAAGGGCCTGTTGGGGCAGAGCTTCATTATAAACACAAAGGAGACACCAGCTGTCAAGCAGCATTCATTCACTTTCAGAGGTTAACTGAAGGGACATCTACACACACTCATGGACTTTTTTCCTAGCCTCCCGGCCCTTCTGGTCTCTGCTTCTCCACAATCCTTCTCCAGGTGACACAGAGTCCGTGGAAAGATCATTTGGTGGCTGTGACCTACACAGAAGGTTCTTTCATGGACTTGCTCTATATTTCTGCAGAGTCCTACTGCGTGGCAAGGCCCTGGGGAGCCCAGAGGTCTCAAGATGAATCAGCTATATCCCAGTGCAGAGATAAACTTGGCGACACAGACTTCCCAATACAACATTAACAAGCTCTCCTAAAGGATTACTCAAGGGCTCAGACAGCAGAGGAGGAACTGTCCAGGCCAGCCTACCCCGGGGCATAATCCCAAAACCCAACAAAGTGAGGATATTTGATCTACATCAAAGGAATGTTACCAGCTAGTGGGGGAGGGGATTCTCAGGGGGTCCAAAGCCTAAGGAATACAGCCAGTTACCAGCCTAGGAACTTGAGACATTCCTGAGTAATAGAAGGATGGCCTGGGAAGGATGAATAGGGCCAATTTAGAAAGAACTATGCCTGGAAGCTTACTTTTTGTGCCTACAGGAAAAGGGGCAGGTACAGAAAGCTTTTAAACAAGAATTTCCCCAAACTGGATAAGTGTTTCATAAAGAGAAGTTATCTATGTGAAGTGAAGAAAGCGGGGAAACTGTATGCTCAATTATTTGTCAAAATAAGACATGATTTATTTGCTTAATATCTTTCTGTCATGTGCCTATCCCCTCCACTCCCCAACCACCCCATAGCTGTAACTAAGGTATTACAAATTCCTAAGCTCAAAATAATATGGAAGTGTAGCTTCCTGGAGCATCAGGGGTGCAATCTGGAAAAGCAGCAGCAGGACATGTCTCATCGCTACCCTACCCGAGATGATGGCCTGTATAGTTTTGTGGGTTTTTTTTTTTTTAATAATTTTTATTTCCTGAAGTATTACAAAGAGTATTACATATGTCTCCTTTTTTCCCCCCCTTGACATTCCCCCGGCCCCTACTCCCCAGTGTCTTGTATCCATTGGTTATTCTTATATGCATGCATATAAGTCCTTCGGTTGATCTCTTAATCCCCCCCCAAACTCTCCCCAGGCTTCCCACTGTAGTTTGACAGTCTGTTCAATGTTGCTCTGCCTCTGCATCTACCCCTGTTCATCAGCCTATACTGGTCCCCATTATCTGTCCCAACCTCACTGGAGCAGTCCCAACCTCACCGGGGCCATTTCAACCTCACCGGGGCCGTCCTGACCAAACTGGGGCCGATTCGACCTCACCAGGGCCGTTTCGACCTCACCGGGGCCGTCCCGACCTCATCAGGGCCGTTTCGACCTCACCGGGGCCGTTTCAACCTCACCAGGGCTGTCAACTATTGTTATTTTAAAAACTTGCCATCACTGACAAGCACAGATTAGGTGGAAATTCTTTAAAACAAACAACAGTTTAAAGATAGTAGAGATTAAGCAACTGGTGATTACAGTGTAAACAACAAAAAAGATAAATTCCCTTTTAAAACAAAGAAGCAAATGTCTGCTTAGTCGCTACAGTGCTTAGTAACTGCACATGGTTGGGCATGATGGCAAGCATTTGCCACTGCCATTCACCCTGGAGGAGTTTTATGAAAGGTGTACACTTCAGCACGTGAGAGCAGCCGCTCAGTTATGTTTGTACCTCCCACAAAAGTGGACGAGACATTTTCTAAAGCAGTGGTTCTCAACCTTCCTAATGCCGCGACCCTTTAATACAGTTCCTCATGTTGTGGTGACCCCCAATTTCACTGTTACAAATTGAACATAATTAAAGCATAGTGATTAATCACAAAAACAATATGTAATTATATATGTGTTTTCCGATGGTCTTAGGCGACCCCTGTGAAAGGGTCATTCGACCCCCAAAGGGGTCACGACCCACAGGTTGAGAGCCGCTGTTCTAAGTCTCGTCACACAATCACAGTTTGGACAGTGCTGAAAAATGGCAATTAATGTGACCATCCAGTTCACTACATTTGCTAATGTCCCGATCAGGTAGCACAGGCAGATGTTGTACTCTTTTGGGTTTTGAAATAGATTGTTTTACTTCTCTGTAGGAAAATACTAATGGTGACGGACTGAAAACCCTCTTACAAATAACATTCTGTTTGCAAGCGGATTCACTGTGAGATCACAAGCCAAGTTCAGGAGATGGGTTTGCTGTACGTTTTCCCAGTCTCTGAAAAGGCTCTCGATTCCCCAGGAGCCAACGAATGATATTCCAGAAACTCTAACGTGGACACAGGACACATCAAGTGAGAAACTGAAAGGTGGAAACAGACCAGGAACCCCATGATTTCACAAGGTTGTGTTCAAAAATGTATCACTTCTCTATATCTTCTCTAGCTTCAAATCAGACAAAAATTTAAGGGGCTTCACCAAATGAATTTAAGAATCTGGTGCATATCGTAAAACTGCCTGCTGTGTTAAGGCATTCAGGAAAAAAAAAAAAAAAAAACCAACTCTATATTTGAACTTACACCTTGAGAATTTGCTAAATAGTGGTTTTAATCACACATTTTTGCAAACCACACACAAACAAGGAAAAGTTTTTAAGAATTTGAGCATATTTGCATATAGGGAAATTTTGGCAGATAAAATTTAGTGGATGGGTATTTTTTAAAACTCCTCCTGTCCCAATTCTTCCAACTGGACAGTGGGGCTACAGGGAGGACTAGAGGCCTTGCTCAGTCCCTTAAACATGCCCGTCTACACATGGGACTGAAATCGCTTTTGTCTCAATTGTCAGGAGGAAATGAGAAGACACCGGACTCAGAGTTACTATCTCTTTCTACATTCCAGTTCTAATGACATGACTGTCCTGAACTCTCTTTAAAGTTTTCCTCCATTATGCACCACACCTCTTTGAAAATCAGATCATTTGATAAATCCATGCTTTATGAAGAAAAGGCTTTAAAAAACTAAAAACTTGATGCTTTGCCACCCAACATGTGCTTGATGAATGGCAGCTCATCTATATATATAAAAGCCAAAGTGACCATTAAGACTGGTCGACTGGTCGCTATGACAACACACTGGCCACCAGGGGGCAGATGCTCAACGCAGGAGCTGCCCTCTGGTGGTCAATGAGCTCCCACAGCCAACCTCCCGTGGCCGGTCTACCTCCTGCAGTC